GACAAGAAACCACCAACATGTCCCATTACCAATGTTCATAAGAGATGGAGATACTTGTTGTATTACAAGGATAAGCCTCTGTTACCCTTTCCAGCTCTCTTCTTCCATTTTCACCGCTAAATTCTTCTACTACAAAAGAGCATGAAATCTCCTCCAAACTCATCATGCTGTGAACAACTACTTGGACTGATGATGGAACTCTTATTCATCTCTATAATACTAATCAAGAGACAAGGTTCGGGCGGTGGATCAATCCACGTCGCCTGCAAACCTGCTAACCGTCAGATCCGGCAAGGACACAATGTAGACCGTTCGATCTAGGTCATAGCAGGTCTATCGCCCATTAATCCGTAAACCCATGCGCTCGCGAATCATCGTGAACCTGCACAATTCCTCCTCTGCTCCTGCTGCCATGCCCATCTCTCTCCTCCCACTACCCTCCAACGTCCCCTGCCCTTCCCCTCTGCTGGGGTGCTGAAGAGACGCAATCACTGTCGGTCCCAACCTCCCAGACCTCCGGCGCTAGTTCTTTGCGCTTCTTAGTGAGTCCTCCATCTCCTGCCACTAGATCGCCACCTCCATCGTGCTTGCCCTCCTCTCCTGCATGGCAGAGGTGCGGCGCAAGGAGATCGCCTCCTCCTAGACAAGGAAGCCACAGTGAGCTGCTAAGCTGGAGGCGCAAGGACAAAGCAACCCCTGGGTGGAGACTCGGCAGCAGCATTGAACCCAACGCCACGCTGCCACGCACTCCCCCTGTCTTCTCTCCCTGGCGCAGCATCACCCTCGCTGCCGCTCCTTTCCTGTTCCTTTGCCCTATCTAAGCAGAGTGGAGGCGGAGGCAGCGACTGCACAGCGTGAGGAGGAGCAGAGCATGCATGGGTGGCGCAGGCACGTGGCGCAAGGAGGATATGAAGCGCAGATGTGCCGCAGGGGGGTACTGGCATGGCGCTGATGGTGGGCTCGAGCTGCAAATGCTCAACAGACGCCCCCATAGTGTTCGATGAAATGGCCGTTTCTCGTTTGGGAACGCCATGACCTGCCTGCCACAAGGTCTCTTCCTCTAGCCCCTCCACCGTTGAATTGTTGTGTCAGGCAAGGGTGTCCGGTGTTTGCCGTCAACAGCACTGGAGGTCGACCCGTCAGCATGCTTCAACGAGGATTTGTTCGGACAGGCAACCTTACTTTGCGACACAGATTCATTTTTGTATGTAGTTTCTGCTTCACAAATTACAAGTAACCTCATGCTATCAGTTTAGGCTGCTAAAGAATATTTTATATGTCCGGGCTCATTTTTGCAAGTAATTTCTGATTCACAACTAACCTCATGCTATCAGTTTAGGCTGCTGAAAATTCATTTTATATGCTCGTTTATTTCCAGGGACTAGTTTCAATTTTCGAAAGTACTTCAAGAGGTCCTTGGAGGATGAATCCAAGAGTTGTTGGCATAAGGTAAGAAATGCAGATAGTTTACTTACTACTTTACCCATTTGTATCATCAATTAATTTATGAGTTTTCATAAAACCATTGTGAGTTTTCTCTGCTTTCAAACTGAACTATCAGATCACACAAAAGTTAGAGCTGCCACTCTAAATATTCAGCCATTTGGTTAACATTAATATGTGATTTGGCAGGAGTATCGTGCTCTGCAGAAACGGTACTAGGCCATCATACATACTAAGTGTACCAAAAAGTAAATGTGAGGGCTGATCAAAACTGGTCCAATCTAGCTTTGGCAGGGCAAGGTCGCACCTGCCTTTCTAGTCTAGTTTCTAACAGAAGATCATACATTGGCCAGATGCAGGATCGATGCGAAACTATTTCCGACTAACGGCCGCCTCAATAGATAACCGCTCACACGAGGAGTGCTAGAAGATCGAGAAGCAGGACGTACGTGGTTGGGTCGATCTTGGCGGTGAAGGAGCGAAGCGAGAAGAGGAGTCCGAACATGAGCTTGTGGTCCTGGGTGGGGTCGAGCGTGCGGAGCGGGCGGTGCCACTCGCGGTAGAGCAGGCAAACGCCGCTGCGGTTGAAGACGTAGAGGACCTGCGCGCTGGCGCCCGTGCCCGTGCCGGGGGGCGCCGCCGGGGCTGGGGTCGCCTCCGGCGCGACCGACGTCAGCGACGAGCCGCCGAAGAACTGCATCGGCCGCCGTTTGCCCGGATCTGTCGCGGAGATGCGAGGCGGATCTCCGGCCGGAAAGGGAGGTTGAAGTCTTGGGATGCGTTTTCCAGGCGAGGTTGGGGTTGTCTTCCGCGCTTCTCGTCCTCCAGGCGCCGATGTGCAGGCGGCTAGGCGAGGGCGGCGGTCTGCAGGCGAGTGGCCGGGCGGCGGTGTGCAGACGGGTGGCGCGCTGGGGAGGGGGCAACCGGGCAGCGGTGCCTCAGGAGGAAGGTCGCCGGGGAGGGGGCGGCCGAGCGGAGAGGGATCAGGAGTCAGGAGGGGCGGCTGGGCGGAGGCAGCTGGAGGGGGCGCCGGTGAGGAGGAGCCGAGGGGGTCACCGTGCAGGCAGAGAGCAACGGAAAATTATAATACCCTGTAAACAAACTAGAGGATGACAGGTGGGGCCGAATAAAGGATGGTGGGACTACAAGATGACTTATAGTTAACGGCGTTAGACTGTGTCCAACGAGTGATCCATATGGACACCCAGACCTAAAATAGGTAGGAAGAAATTTAAAATCGATCTCCAACAGAGTACCTATACAGGTGATCTATTTTGGGTTGCCTGAGAGACACAACCCAAATATGAGTATCATCTCTCTCTTCAAACACATTTGTAAAAATAATTCTCTTTTTCGGTCCTGTTGTTGGAGAATATACCGAAAAGTGTATTGAATCCTTTATCTATAGCGCTACTCAAATATCAAATGGATCTTATATTTTAGGTGTTATTGTTGAGGATAGTCTTAAGAATTATCATCCCGTCCCTTCAATTCACCCAACCAAACAAAAAGATTAGGATGAGCATGTCCTCTTAACCAAAACTTTTATTAAGGTAATACTGTCTGATTTCTAAAATCAGAGGCAGGATGATCCATCTCACTTCGTCTAACATGAGAAGCTAATTTTACTAATAAAGAACAAATGGAGGAAAAAATAAAGAGTATCATCAATATTTCATATTTTGTAAAAATCTAACATGAGCAACTATTTTAGTAAATGTTCTTTTAGAGTAGTTACTTAGAGCCAAAGAAAATTATTCCACCAAAGAGCTAAAGCCAGAGCAGTTTAGCTAAGGTCGGAGCTCTACCAAATACACCATAAAGCAGTCCATACCGCTATGATCAGCAATATAAAATTTAAAAGAAATTATCTTTCCATCTTATCCTATCACGATAGCTCTCGTTGGAGAGAGGCATGGGTCGACGGTCACCATAGACCATGCGCGAGGATTGGATGTCATCCAGGTACAAGGGTAGGCCTTTCTCGCTCTACGCACCAATGAGCATGTCTGACTCATAGGAGCTGCAGCAAAGGGAGCGTGAACGCATCTAGGCCCGAATATGCAGTGAATACGGTTTTGGTGATTGATAGAGCATAAATATGTGTGACTAACATATATCTTCCGCCCGGGGCTATTTGCATTCGAGTTAATCACGTTATTGAGAATGGCCACAAATGACTTGGCTTCAAGATTTGGTGTTTATCATGTATGGTGTAAGGATTACGAAAATACTAGATGTTAATCACATTCGTTAATTAGTGTGTAATAAGTCTTTATTTTTACTTTGAACATACTATTAAGGGGGTCCAAGGCATTTAGCTTCAAACTGTCAAAGCAATAGTATGGAGATGCATGAAGTGACTAAACTCTCGGTCGAATTTTATAGCTGCAAGTGGCTAACTCTCTCACTCGATCTCCTGGTGCTGAACGAGATGAATCGCAGCTCTGGCTCGACAAGTGACACACTCACCAAGGACCTGATTACAATACACCTCGTGACGCACTGTCATGACTCGAGGGTGAATGGGAGAGAACGCGTGCCGAGATCAGCATCGTGATCGTCGTCTCTGCCGCAAAGATCAACAAGCAATGAGTGGTTGAGACGGAGAAGCAGGTGGCAGAGATGAGGCTCCTCCAACTCGTGCATCTCTTCTCCAAATGAGACAGAGGTAAAAAAAAACTGTTTTTTCCTCCAGCTCCGGCTCCTCACCGTAACATGAAACAAGCACGGCCAAACAGGCCCATGGTTTCGGACAACGCTCATGTACAACCAACTAATACATGTAAATTGTTGTTTTTGTGATTTGTAATTTATCTTTGTATTGTAACATATCAATTTTTTTGTTATTGTCTAACTATAGAAATAATTGTAAATTATTAACTATCTTTGTGTCAACACAGATCAGATTTTCTCATATTTGTATGATTTTGTCGGATAGGTTTTTTATTGTAGAAACCAAAAATTACATATTATATGTACATAAATAGCAACGAACTAAAGTTACAATTTTAATATAAAAATATATATGCAATAATCGTCGCATGCAAGTTAGCTAAAATTCAGACATTTAAATTTTAGCAAGTTCCTTTTTGTTTGTTGGTTAGTGGGCCCTACCTCTATAGTCCATCTGATCTTTACATATTGTGACAATTTTTTACAACTATAAAGACTGTTTTTTTAAAACCACTTATGTAGACCACTTTACAATATATATTGCTCATGCACTGAAAGTGTGAGACAGAAGATCAATCTCGGCCGAACTCATGTGCTTGAACTAATATCCATATCCAATTCTACCATGAATACATACTATTCCATTTGCTGCCATACCAATATTTAGAGAGGAGATCACTTCAGGGTTTAGTGCTTTATTTATGGCAAGACGGATCAATTTCATTCAAAAACCCCACAAAAAGATCCAATTCAAATATGCAATTTATATTAGTATATCACAATATTCACAGCAACAATACAACAGGCATTACAATCTGTGTTCAGAAGAACAAGTTAGTTTTAAACGCACACAAACACAACGGTGGAAGCACACTTCAAAGTCACGGACACAGCACCCTTATTCTCTTGATCTTGGGCAACGTTGATGGCACTTCTTCTTTCTTTTGCAGGTGCAGCTCCGGTGTGTTCATCTTGGTGGCGAACCATGGGTACTTGAGCGCGGCAGCTGCCGTGAGCCGCTTGTCGGGGTTGCAAGTGAGCAGGCCGCTGAGTACCTGGAATCCTTGCACGGACAGCTTTTTCTTGGGGAACTCCTCGCGCAGTAGGTTGCGCCGCTTCATGTTCAGCTTCGGAATCAACTTGGTGGCGAACGGCGCGGACGAGAACCATGGCCACGTCGTTTCATCTGGCACGCCAAGGACGTTGAAGATCACGTCGAGCTGGTCTGCTTCATTGGAAGCCATGAACAGAGGGGATCCGTCGATGAGCTCCGCCATCACGCAGCCGAGCGACCAGGTGTCGACGAGGGCGTCGTAGTCGGGCTTCCCCAGCAGCACCTCGGGCGCCATGTACCACAGCGATCCGGCGGTCTCGTACGGCGGAGGCTCGGTCATGTACATGGCGAGCCCAAAGTCGCAGATCTTGACGGTGGTGCGGTCATCGGCGACGAGGACGTTGTCGGGCTTGATGTCCCGGTGGACGACGTGGGCGTCGTGCATCTTCTTGGCGCCCGTGAGCAGCTGCCACATGACGGCGCGCACCGTCGCCTCCGGCAGCGGCGGCATCCCATCGCAGCGGCGCTGGTGGAGTAGGTCGTGGAGGCTCGCGCCGACGCACTCCATGACCAGGCAGAGGTCCATGGTGGCCGGTCTGCGGGCGAGGCCGTGGAAGCCGACGACGAACGGGTTGTCGCGGCCGCTCGCCTCGAGCAGCGACGCCTCCCGCAGCAGCGCCACCTGGCTGCCGTCGGCCGCGGCGAGGCGCTTGATGGCGACGGTCCGGCCGGTGCCGCGGTGGCGCGCCTTGTGGACCGAGCCGAAGGCGCCCGTGCCGATGCGGCCGGTCTCCTCGTAGTCGTCGGTGCTGCCCATGGCGATCCGCGTCCTCTTGCGGGTCGGTCGCGCCGCGCCGGCGCCGGCGCCGGGGTCGTGGACGGCTGCGGGGGCTGATGCTGCCTGTACGCAGGCCGCCATTGGGGCGAGTGGAGGAGATGGATGATTCGACGGGCTGCTTGCTGGAGGCGGAGGCAGGGGGACGATGATCGTTGGAGGTGGGGGAGAGGCGGCAGGAAGTCGGTGAGGATGCGCGAGTAGCGGCGGCGACTATATACTGCGGGTGCGGAGTGAGTGCGACGACGACGAGCAATGCTCGACTTCGACTTCGACTCGGTTCCCGCATCCGCATGGTCGATCTCTCCTCTCGTCTCCGACAAAGGATGGGAGCGAGCAACCAACTGACGCGTGCCGCGGACGCGTTCTGCGACGATCCTGCATGCGACTCCGACAGCGAGCCTCCCGACTCCGAAAGCTTTTGGGCGATGGACTGCGTTGCGCGCGCGGCACACAGTCCCAAGTTCCGATCGGGTTTGGTTGGTCTGATGGATTTCATCGTTGTTGGGCTCCGTCGTCGTCAAGTATTTGGGCTATGGGCTGTGGGCCGTGGTCTGTGGGCCGTAGGAGACGTAAATCACGGCTGCTTGTCCGGCCTGCAAGGAAGCAACGGAGAGACAAGGTTGGGCCTCAGAGTCCCACTATTGCTGAAATGCTGACATTGGCCGTGGCCCCGTTGGCTCAACAAAATTAACAGGACCGACCGATTTATGTGCTCCTTAGACCGTCTCCGACAGCGCAGGCGACCCAAACGCAAAATACATCGTGAACAGTGTTTTCGTCCTAAAATCATGCTCTAACAGAGGACGCAAACAAGGCAGCCATTTTGCGTAGCAAGCGAGTTGGAAGGCAAAAAAGCGTCGTCGTTCTCGACAACGCAAAACACTGCAGAGAGAGAGGGGAGGAGCGACCGACGCCGGGGCCCGACACAGGGGCGGGGCCGATGGAGGTCGGTGGAGGCACGGCTGCCGTCGCGGAGTCCGGATCCGCCCGGCCGCCATCGGAGGGAGCAGGGGTAGGCGGCATCGGGCAGGGGAGGGGCTGCGGCGGCCATCGGAGGGAAGCGGGGGAGGGTTGTAGTCGATTCCCTGATGCTTCAATCATCTGCTGTGAGGGTGAAGAGGCGCGGCGCGGGCAGGGGAGGAGCCTGCGGCTACCGTCATGGACGCCAGAGGGAGCAACTGCGGTCATGCGATGGCGGAAGTACCGAAATGATGGAGGTCGAGGGGAGGCGGGACGGTCAGGCGGGGAGGAGGATCCATGGCGAGGTCCGCTTGCGGTGGAGCAGCGGCGCGCCAATATAATGGACAAGGCTGCCACTCGCCGCCCGCGGAGAAGAGCGCCCTAATGCGCCCCTATGCACGCCAAGCCAGAGTCACCTGATGAGGCTGGGGTCGGGGCATCGAGCTCGCGCCTCGCCGCGATGGCGGCGAATCTGTCCAGATCTCAGAGAGGAGCTGAGCTTGAGAAACGCAAGAACGCCGCTGTCCACGAGTCGCAGTCGCCGCAGCTGGCACTTTGCCTGGATCCTGAACTGGCTGGCGTCAGATCTCGAGCCATCGTCTTTGCCTTGGCACGAAGCGCTGCGCCTTTGGCATGTACGAGCCGCCCGGCCTCCTTCTTCTTCCGCACGCAGCCACTCCCTTCTTCCTCAAGCTCTTCCTCGACGGTGAGCCGAGGTATGGGATATCTCAGCCACTCCCTTCCTCAAGCTCTTCCATCCTTCCAACGACGAGACGCGGGTAGAGGCGCGCCAAAACTATTTTCGAGAGGCCGGGCAGCGGCGCCGAGAGAGCGATCCCTTTCAAGGAAGCGGCAATTTTCTCTCCGTTGGACTTTTGCGTCCGTTGTTGGAAACGTGAAGTTTTGGGTACGCGAGCTTTTCCCTATGCGTGACCTAAACCAACGAATGCGTCCCGTATTTGGGTTCGAGCTGTTGAAGACAGTCTTATGAAATCTAAGAACAAAACTATTGTTTTCGTGCTCCTATTGGCCTCCTGAGGGCACGTTCGGTTGGCACGGAATCTAAGTCCTGGAACCGATCCGGCCAGAAACGCTACTGTATTTTATACAGCCAAGCATCAGCAGGATACGTTCCGGCCAGGAATGAAAGAAGCAAACTTAGGGCCCGTTCGGCAGCAGCCGGACCAGGTTTGTTTCCTGGCCAGTATACACCAGTTTTCAATACGGATGGCTCCGTTCCACCCGGAAGGACCGCCCGTTCCCAAAGAAACGAACAGAGCCTTAGGCTGATTTATGTCAAAACGGCTGAGCCTGTTTTAACAGCCAAGATCCAAATTGAAGTTGTATTTTGACACGGTTTCAAGTGTTTTCGACCCCTAACGTGACAAATCACAACCACAAAATGATTTTGGTCAACGTGGTTTTGATGTGGGTGGTAGGAGAGGGTGAAGACACCGTCCAACAGTAACGAAAATCGCTGGAAGTCTATAATTTTTTACTATTGGCAGTATTTAACTTCACATCTGTAATTATAATAACAAAAATACAACCTTTTAGTAGCTTCCCAACATACAAACAAGAATAGTAACACGAGGAACTCAATGCTGATCACTAACAACTCGTCAAAATCACAAACTAGTCAACGACTGACAAGTAGTATGAAATTATGCAGCATCAAAATCATCTGAAGGCTACGATTTCTTCCTTCAAACGTGTGATGAAGCCATCTACGCTCATTGTCGCCAGGTCAGCATTGTCTCTTACCCTAACGCAGATCTGCAGTACACAAGGGATCCACGTCAAACAGCAAGGAAATCAAATCTATTTTGCGTGCATCAATATCTGAGGGTGATAGTGGTACACAAGTACACGGCATGTGTAGAAGAAAAATAATGGCACGAGGTAAAGAGGACTTACATTTCCAGTCTCGGCCTCTTGTGCACCTACGACAAGAATGTAGTTGAATTGGGCTAGTTGGGCTTCCCGTACCTGCAAGATTTATTGAGAGGTCACAGCTGGCTACATGTAATTCCTTCTTTTTTGATTGAAAATTTTGTATAAGGACACGCAAACAAATATAAGAACAAGAAATAACAAATATAAGAACAAGAAATTAAAAAGAAACGGTGCCAAAGCCTAAAAGAGCTTGGTAACTGGAAAGTACCTTCTTTTGTATTGTCCTGTCACTCGCGTCAATATCAACGTGAAAACCAGCTTCATGTAGAGTGGCAAGAACCTGGTATCAGAAACAAAAAGATCATCAGCACCATTATTAAATGAGCAAGGTCCAATTTTGTCTAAAGCGGTATAAGGGAACACATATAACATGAACCCATAAGGATAGTATGGTAAGCTATCAAAGGTAGGAAGGTTACATTAAAGGATACGTGTGGACTCATCAACCGACTCAAACTCAATAGATATTTGTTGTTTGAATTCGAGACAAAAACTAGGCAATTTCACACTGCTAACCGCAAAGAATCATCTAAAATACCACACAACTGGTGAGGACCACAAAGTGGAATATAACTCAACAGAAGTTTTTTTTAATGTCAGCCACAACAGAGAACTATGAAGTCAAGTCAGTTTTTACCATCTACCTGTTTCGCATATTCCACTGAACCAGAAGATACCGAGCAAACAATGGCCTGGCGAGGGCTTAGCCATAAGGGCCATTTACCATTGTAATGCTCCAAAAGAATGGCAAACATCCTTTCAACAGAACCTAGGATTGCCCTGTGTATCATCACAGGTCTTTCAATTTTGGCTTCATCCTCAGCAGAATAAGCCAGCTTGAACCGAATGGGCAGCTGAAAATCCAGCTGTAACAGATAATAATATAAGGTTAGATAAAATGATAAATGATTATTTTAATTATTTAATGACAGAATAACATTCAAGGGAACCTGTAAGGTTGCACACTGAAATTTCCTCTTAAGGGCGTCAAACACACCAATATCAATTTTTGGGCCGTAGAAAGCACCATCCCCTTCATTAATCTGCATGAAGGCATCTATATAAGTCCTCTCAATACAAGGCAATGTCATGGGAAAATAATGTTGCAAAATGTGCATGCACTTCCTCTGTGATTTTAGTCAGAGCCAGTGCAGGTACTAACAATGACATGATAATTGAGTGAAAGCCCTTTTAACTGCACCAAAAATATTGAATATTGTGTACAAATACAAATCTAGTCTAGCTCTAGTATAGCATAATAAAGGCATGGAAACATCAAAGGGAAAAAGGGCTATCATAGTCTGTGTGAAGGTACCTTCCACGGCTTCCCAAATTCATTCAAAGCTTCTGTTAATTGTTGCTCTGCTTTGTTCCAAGTTTCAATTTCACCTAAATACTTCTCTGGTCTCTGGAAAAATGACATCATGATCAGGTTAGAGTATTAACTAAAGAAACATCAAACTATCACAAGGTTATCAATATCCTTTGAAGCTCAGAGAATTCATTAAATCTTAGCATTTTGCCCCAAAGATATGAAAATGGGAAGTAGCAAGGATAAAACAATGGAAGTAACAATGTAACATACAAATTTTCATTAGTCATTGAAAATTTGGTTTTTTTTTTTTTAAACCAAAATTGGTTTTTTACATCACCATAAGACAATATATCAAATCCAATCAAGCTGTCTGGAATTAAAGACTCAGGGAAACATATGTGGAAACATCAAATGTGAAGAGAGATTGCAAGATCTTGTCATGAGCTTTACCAACTCGAAGTTCAAAAAAAGCAAGAATGGATACTACATTATCTCAATATATTTCAGTGAGATAATAACAAGCAACTAGCAACCAAGAACAAATATTAGTGTTACTGCCCAGATTTTATAATAATTCTGAAAAATATGTATGTGATAACATGCCCATAACTACATAAATATCACATATTCAGTGGTGATCTTGTTATTCGAATTCATCAGAGGTTAGCACATAAGTATAGTAAGAAAGTAAAAATATAAAAAAAGGATATATTAAAGCTGATTGTTAAGCAGTTCATCCTGCATATTAAAGCTGCAATTTACAGCTCCCAGATTGTCATCATTTCATGCCAAATGTTAAGCGTATATTCTGGTTCCTATCAAGCAGAAATGCCATCAGTATAAAAGATAA